TAAACTATTTCCAGAGCACCTCTTGCAGAAGCAAGCTGTATGATGCAGTTGCACATGTGCATATTAGTCGAGGACTGACATTGTACCACATCCTCCCGCTCTCCATTGTTCACGGTGGGTTCTCACAAAAAATGCAGTATTGCAAACATGCAGTATAACAAAGCAGAAATCAGTATCTGAATACAGAACCATTTTGTGCTCCGTATGCCACTGACTGGAATAAGGAGGAACTCTTTTCAAGAACAAAGCAGGCTGGGAAAACTCCACAAACTGCGTTAAAGAAAGAGTCAGGAAAGGGAAGTCAGGAATCCCAATGAAAGAAAAATGACAGCTATAAAGGAGCTGAGCGCATGAACCTGGAACATGAATTCAAAAGGAATTCTGCAGTGACAGACACCTGATGAAAGAACCCACCAAGAAGATGGATTGTTTCCTGTGCATTTTTCCTGTCCCTTTTCCTGGGACAGCCTTTTCTAAAGCAGTAGTACCAAAGACGTATCGGGCCAATCACAGCAGCTTTGCTGAAATACTGTCTTACTAGAAACCACAGTGTAAACAGCAGTCAAGAATAGAGGGCAAAGCGCTGGAGAGGAAGCAGAAAGGAGAAGGGTATTCGCTTGGGATAACAAGTACTTTAGCTCAATACATTTACTTTCTTCTTTTTCTGTAAACAATTCTGGCACCCAAGTATTGATACGTATCGGAGCTCTCACTTCTCCTTCCGTGTCCTGGGAGATCAATGCTTAGGACAGAATTAAATTTAATTAGATTCATCCTGCATTAACCAAGTTCAGGCACCCAATTCAGGATGGGTTAAGAACACCTTTTAAAGCCAACAATCAACATGCACACACACCTTTCATAGCCAGTGAACAGAGGAGCGCCTTGTCATGGGAAATTCAGCTGTCGCTGATTCACAGTGGACATGAAACTGCATTTGTGCATTAGTTATCTCAAGAAAATTACCTACAGTGGGACAGAAACGAACTTTAAAAACACTCCTCTTTGTGACACTCAGCACTTTGGAAGAGCCTGTCAGTGGAATCGCATGCTGGCAGGTGTTTTTTCTGCACACCCGAAGTTTGGAAAGGCACTACCGTAGCCCACTGCCACTGTTCAGAGATGTACCGGCTTGAACCACGCAGCATGACTGCTTCACTAACGTCACGGTGCAGACAGTTGCATTTCCTGCTTGTCTACAGCCCAGAGCCTCAGACAGACGCTTAACTCAGGCTGTGGGCATGCCACAATGGGACTGCTCACTCCGCGTTAAGCTCACATGCAAATACAGCCCTGGGAATCCATGTCTGTACACAGGACCTAGCAGAGCATCTAAAGAAGGGCAGACTGTACACAAGCTTTTTTTGTAATTTTTATTTGAACACAGTATTCTGACAGAATGCAAAGTCAAAATCTTCAGTTAGTATCAGTATTTACACCAGTGAGAATGGGAATAAAGGTGGAATCGATGTTTCACTTGGTAAAAACATTTTTTGTTTTTTTGTTTTTTTAACAAGATAGAAGGCCCCCAAAAGTAGGGAATGCTGGGTAAGGATGTCAATGGAGGGTCAGAGAACAACTATCAAAACAGCCTAGTGTGAAAATCTGGGGTTTGAAGGCTCCATAGAAAAGTGTGAAAATAAAACTCCACTCTAAAAGCTGAACAACTGGATGCACTATCATCTTACCATCTTTACGTATGGTGCAGCATGAAATGTAATCACTCCACAACTAGAAGCTGATCAGTCTGCATTGCCATATAGATATATATGTATGGCATAGATACATATATAAACATATACAGCATAAACGGCATCAGGTTGGTCCCTCTTCAAAGGTTTAAATAAAAGCAATGAAGCCTAAGCTACCTTGGAAATGGGGTACTTCTAAATTAAAACAAATTATTGTCCATTGAGGGCGAGTATAAAACCACTCTCCGGTATTAATCTACAAGTATTGGGAGGTGTCACGAGGACATTAAAAAGGAGTTGGATGGACACTCCCAGTGTTCAGGCAATCACAGGGTTCACTTCTGCCTTGGAGTGGTGCTCACTCCATTGATCTCGATACAAACCCACTGCAGTCAGCAGGGTACTTTCTAATGATACAGCTGGGTGTTACGATCAGGCTTTGAGCTGGTTACCTTTTATGACAGAAATGCCAATCCAGGTGATAGTTAACATAATTTTCACCCAACAGGTGCTGACCAGTGTCACGGGACATGTTTCTGGTCATGAGCATTGTACAGCATTCGGTTCCTATCAGCTGCTCAGCTCTCAGTGGGTTATAACTTAGGAGGTATAACATACAGATGACAAAAGCAGTCAAAAACTTTGCAGAAAGGAGGAACAAATTGTTGTGGTCATCTGCAGGAGCGGAGGTACACACTGCCTGCTCACTAGTCCTCTGCTGCCCCGAGGACCCTCCCCAGCCACAGACCGACCATGGGAGCTTTTTGTGCTGCATTTTATCGATTCCTTAGAAAAAAAATCCTAGGGACCATGGGCCAAACTTCCACAGTTATACTGACACTGCTGTGACGGGTCACGCAAGGGCTGAATTTGACACAAGGCTTTGAAGTGAGGACCCATCCTGTCCTGATATCCTGCTCAGGATAGGTATTGCATGAGTGTCTATGCCTGCATATCCAGTCATCCTCCATTTGCATCCCAGGAGCTAAGTTAAAAATGCAGAAAACCCCACGCTTAGCAAATGACAAGACCATTATTTTTCACAGTTTGACATTATGTGATGCCACTGTAAAAGACTGCGTACTTAGAAGAATACACCGATAAAAGTGGCTCAATTTCCCAGAGCCAAACTGCAGTCTACCCAACCCCCATCATCCTTCTGTTCATCACCTTAGCGCAACGGAATGGATGCCATAGTCAGCTTGGTTTGATTTTTTCATTTAAAGGCTTCTGTTCCTTGTAAGAGTTGTTCTCTTTTTTTTTTCCTGAATATTTTTTTTTCAAATCTGAACTATCGCTACACCTTCCACATCCAAACTATGTTGAAGCTTTTATTATTTCAATACTATGACAAAAAACACGTTTCACACTAAAATAGTCACGCACCCACAGTGCACAAGCTTGCAGATCTAAAGTAGAATAAAAAAGAAAACAAAAGAAAAAAAAGAGGGGAAAAAAAACCCAACAAAACCCCAACAGAAGGAACATCTCTATACAATGGGCTGGTCTTCCCCTATATACCTCCACCTTCCTTCTGCTCAAGCCTCCTTTCTGTTCACCCCGAAATCTCAGTGTTACTCCATGACTCCCAATGATAAGCTCCCCCCTCCGTAACGATAATACATGTACTACATCTGCCCCCTTTTCCAACTGTTAAAGACACAATGCCAAGACAAGTGAAATCAATAGGAGTCTTGGCATTGATTTCCAAGCACTTGCTCTTGATTTCACGGTTTTGATTCTGCAGAGCATACACGGATGATTCAATACACATGATGTGATAGAATAGAATAGTTCAGTTGGAAGGGACCTACAACGATCATCTAGTCCAACTGCTGATGGAGCCGACTTTGCAGGAAGGGTCTTGCAGGCTGCCAAGCACCCCGGTGCAAAATATCTTTGCTTTTAAATCAGATTTCTAGGGTCAAAGGAAGTGGCATTTGCTGACATACATATTGAGGAATTGATATAGTCAAACATCTGAGATGAGACCAGACCAGCCCTAACTGTACAATCTCCCTTCTGCTTCTCAAAGCTCCGGGAGGGTTCCATGAAGGAAAGGGGAGAATGTCCTAAAAAAGCAGAGATGATATTTCTCTTATGCAGTCAGGCCCAGGTCCAGCAAGGGACTTAAACTCTTACTAAATTTAAGTATAGAAGGACTCCCACCAGCAACTCTCTCATTCCAAGTTAAGCGTGTGTTTATGTGGATTGCTGGATAAAGACCTTGATTGGTGACAAGTGGTCTGAATACCCCCACCCACCCAGAAAACCCCAAACCAAAACCCAGCATTACTTTTCTTCTTACTCCAGTAAGAAATAATAATAATAATAATAACAATAATAATAATAACAACAATAATTAAGAAAAGATAAAAATAATAATAACAAAAATAATAATAACAACAATAATTAAGAAAAGATAAAGGGGAAACAACTACTGTAAAAAAAAAAAAAAAAAGGCAGCTATTTTACACGTACATTTAAACAACAAAAGTTTAAAAAATATTTGTCAATTGTAAACACTGGAAAGAACAAAAGTTGTCAAAAATTAACATAAAATTTAAAGAAATGTAGAGTCTGAATACTGCAAATCGAAATATATCCCCCAAAGCTGCAATTTTGGCATTCTTCCTAAAAAAAATAAAACCCAAATAAACCTCAAATGTGGAGAACAGAATTCAGCCACAAAGAGCTCAAGACACTTTGCATACTGAACAAATACAAGGTGAACAGAAATTATAACTTATTTATGAGGCTTTACATATTTCAAACGCGACTGAAAAGTATAAAAATAAATTGTGGACTTTGTTCATTAAGTACCAGCTGCACCAAGTAGTACAGTGGTTATATCTGCTATACTAACGAAGGAAAGAACAGGGTCTTTTTTTTTTTTTGTCTTTTTTTTTTTTTTTTTTTTTTTTTCTAGGACTAGTTGATTTTGAGCTTCCCAACCACATTGCAAATGGTATTTGCAATTTTGCTTATTTGAATATACACAGGGTCAGCTAAGCACTGATTTGGTTACGGGTTTAACCCTGTTTTTAAAATTTATTACTTTTTAAAAGCAAGTGCACAACAAATAGAACCTTTCTAGAAATCTTTAAAAAAAAAAAAAAAAAGGAAAAGAGAAGAGAAGAAAAGAAAAGAAAAAGAGAGATTCCCCCCCTCCCCCCATTTATGCATTTTCTGTTTTGTTTGTTTTTTAAAAAAAGGCAACAGACACTAGAAGAATGAGATGTGTGTTGTGTTTTGTGTTTTAAATGCTTGGGTGAAGTTGTTCTGTCATTTGTTTTCATCTGTCGCTGATCATGCTTTGCTCTCATTTTCATTTGTTTGTGTGGCTTCATTGGGGACCGTCTTGACTTCTGCTGGAGGTGTCTTAGTTTCCGTTGCTTGCACTTCAGATTTGTCTTCTACTGGGATTTTCCTGAAGAAGAATCACCAAAATGGCACAGTTTAGAGACAGAGAAATATAGACTGTCCATTGCTGAACTAGTGATGAGGAAAGAATATGTTTCTGGAAACAAGCAAATATATCGCCTTGCTAGAGCAAAAGGAGCATTTCCAGATGCAGAAATAAGTAAAACCAAACTCACCCTCCACCCCCAGCTTCATTTAGCACTAGTGAAATCTTTTTTGATTTTCCTCCTGCCCTGAGTTAACATACTAGTAGGATGAGGTCTCAGGCTGCAGCAGAGGCACAAGGCATGTTGTGGTGTGAAAAAAGGAGCAAAAGGGAAAACTCGCACAGTTGCAAAGGAATTTGATTTTACCATCACTCATTTACATCACACAAATGTCCTGTTTAAGCAGACTGCCATTTTAGCAGAAAATCTTTTTCCCTACAGGAATTCAGTCCCAGAATTTCCCAGTATGTTGCAGGAAGGGAAACACAGAAGTGGTGAATTTTGTCAAACACATTTTCACAACTGTAAGGGAGGTCAACATCTTCACAGACTAAAGCTCATGTTCATCAGCCTGTCTTTTGGCACTTTACTGAAGAATCAGAGAAGCCTGTTTGTCCAACGCTCTCTTCATAGTCATGAAAAGTGCCACACAAGGCATATCTGGTGGCCTCCCTGAGTAAGTGCCCGTTCCAGCCCATTAGCCACAGAGTTAGTCTGAGATGACTGCAATCTTAATTCACCCTGATGAGCAGGCGAGATGAATCTAAGCCTATGGTTGCAGTACTGATTTGCCCCAAGGGAAGCAGATGAGCAGCACAGGTAGAAGAAGGTGGCTGGATCGGCAGAAGGAACACAGCTCTGCATTCCACCATACCAAGAATTCATTTACGTGACACAGACCAAGTTGCATTAATTCAGTTGAAATGTTTCCTTACTATGGGCAAACCATTTCCTACCTCCTTTCAGCTCAGTGCCAGATCACAATTCTCTATCTGTTTGTCTCTCTGTAGCACTGCGCATGACAAGGCAGTGGCTTTAGGTGCAGTGAACCGAAGTGAACATGGATTTCTCTGCTTGGGAGCAGCTCAGCTGCACCCATCAAGGCTGCCTGGTTCCCTCCAACCCTAGTGCATCTGCTGTGTCACCCAGGCTTTCCAGGAAGGGCCAGATGCTCCATAGCTGTGTGGAGCACAAGTCAGTGCTGTGGAACAGTCACACAGCAGGAATGACTCCTGACTTAAGGGAGGACAGAAGCACAGCAGGGAGGTAGGGAAACCAGAGACGTAAAGTGTAAAGGCACCTGAATAATACAGTAAAACAGCATGGGTTTTCACTCAGATCGGGAAAAGAGCCTGGTTTTTGGTTCTGCAGTGTCTGACTGACTGCTCTTCTGTGAGTGCTAACACACATTGCAATCACAGTGTCAAAGCCAACGATCAAGGCCAATGCTTTATTTTGGATTAAATACAAAGCTTCCAGAATGAGGTAATTTTCCTGGAGATGTGAGGATGGAAAAAGTTCTAACCAGAGCTGTGACTTAGGGTATGTCTCCAGTGTGGTTGCTGTAGCATAGCCTAGATTTGTCTGAGCGAGCTGTAAACCCAGCTCTAGAACAGCTAGTTAGTTTCTTGGCAGCATTCTAGCTGGCAGTGCAGAGCCCAATGTCCTCAACACACTTTCCTTTGCAAAAACTAAAGATGCAGTGTGAACTCAGTCTTTTGGTTTTGGGAGCTGCTCCTACAACAAATTTGAGCTGCCTTTTCAGGACTCTTTCTCATGATAAAGCACAGACCGTGCTCCAGGAAAGACAAGATGCTCCTTCTATTTCATCCTGCCTCTGTCAACACATGGTGTCCAACTAGGAAGCCAGAAGGAACAGGGACCTTAGGTAGATACTTGTCCCCTCAAGGGTGGCTTATCCATTTTCAGTCAGCATTTTCCAGGCTTCTGTGCTCATGGCTCTGTCAGCAACTGCCATCCAAACCGACACAGTAAGAGTGTTCTTGTCCATCATCTGCACAACAGCTGGGGACCCTCTCCCCGGTTACCCAGGTGAGGACTTCATGCTGTTTTCACTCTCCAGTTACAGTGTCTCCTGCCAAACACAAGGCACAGACTTGTCTCAGCTGAGGAAAGTGGATTCTGTCCAGATGGCATAAGGCTCCAAAGGATCCCTAGGGTTGTCCTGCCTAGGAACATGCTGATGCTCTCTGAATAAATCAGCTGGGTAAAGAGGAGACCCAGTACAGTGGATGGAGGCTCATCTCTAATATACCAGGACAACACACTGCCAAGTTACCCTGACCCAGCTGTGCTGTGACTGCTCTCCCTCTCTCAGATGGGATCACATTGCCTTATCCTTTTGCCAGTTTAGGGACAAATCCAGAGGTACCATGCTTTTACAGTTTCACATGGCACTAGTTTCTGCCCTGCCTTACACTGAAAAAAGTTCTGAAGGGCTCCACTGATCTGTTAGGAAATTGAATTTGCGTGGCTGTGCTCACTGGACTGCAGGAACTCAGCGCCCCTGAGGACAGCCCTTCCTTTGCATCAAACCAAACTGTTTCTATCTCTTTCATAAAACAACAACCTACAATGGACAAAGCTGCATAAAAGTCTAAAGAGTAACACATTTATGATAAATTCCTGGGTTTGTCTTTTCTCTGCTTCCCTGGCACAGCCTATTCCTGCTTTCCTCCTTGACCTTTAAAGCCAAGCCCTGTTTAGTTGGTTCACAGGTGAGTTAGTTTGCTAAGGAAACAATGAGATTAGTTAAGAGAACACCCAACAAGAACACAGCACGAGCACCAGTGCACAAGAGACATAGCACACAACCAACAGAAGATTAAAGGCAGCCATACTCGGTCTTTGCAGGTGCAGCGGGTACAGAGCTGTCTGCAGTGGAAGAAGCAAGCTCACGAGCTTGCCCACTAGTCACACTGGCAGGAGTAGTAGTGCCAAGAGCTGCAAAAACATCCTTTGCAAGATCAATGTCTGGTGTCTTGAAGGTCCCTTCGTCCATTTTAAAGTCCTCATTCTGTGAGGGGTTTGTGGTGCTGCCTGAAGCAGCCTCGCTCTTCAGATTGCTTGCGTTCTTGGTTGTCTCTGTTGGGTTCTTCACTGTACTGGGCTGCACAGCTTCCTTTTCAGGGCTCTTGGTGCTTGAGACCTCCTGCTTGGGCTCTGATGGAGCTGGAGGGCTAGTGAGGTTTGCAGGGCTTGAGGCAGCTGGCTGGTTACCAGCTGCCACTTTGGAGGTCTCGGCCACGTTAGCAACAGCGCTGGGGCTGAGCACTGCACCTTGGTTGGACAGGACACTTGAAGACGAATTATTAGTAGCTGGAGTAGAGCTTGGGGTATCGCTGAGATCAACAAGGGGGGCCACTTTGGGGGTGGAGGAGGGTGGTGGTGAAGAGACTGAGGTGGCTGCCCCTTTGGCTGGAGTAGCCTGGCCAGGCAACATGGAGTTTGAGTCAGGAATGGCCGTGGCTGGCAGGGCAATACTGGAGGTCAGCGTAGTGGTCTCGCTGGTGGGACTGTTCTGAGCAGTGGCAAAGGTTTCAGTGATAGTGTCAGAGTTAGTGGTGCCCGTAGTTACAGAAGGCAGCATGTCCTCAACAGTAGCTGCGGTATCAGCGGGGTGCCTGTGAAGAGGACAGGAGTAGAAGAGAAATAGAGACAATGAAGCCCGTAAATGACAGCAGGGGAAAGGGGAGCAGAGTGTAAGAGTGAGAAGGCAGGTGGGTGGTGCAGCAGCAGCATGGCATGTAGTTACAACACACACACACACACACACACACACACACACACACACACACACACACACACACACACACACACACACACACACACACACACACACACACACACACACACACACACACACACACACACACACACACACACACACACACACACACAACATGGGGAGAGGTACTCAGAGGAGCAGAAACCTTTCAGAGTTCAAATGTGCAAAGGGTAGCAAGGGCTGGCTGGGATGACTGAAGAATAACTAGGAAGAGAAAAACAGAAAAGAGGACATGTCCTTCAGGAATGGCTTGCTCACGCAGATTTTGGTTCAAGTCTTAGACAAACATAACCCTGTCAACTTGCAGAGACTCTTCTCTTTTAGCCTAACTTTCGTCTCAGCCTCTTCCACTTAGCGTCACAAGGAAGCTTTCTACCAATTCCCTGAGCTTGCAGCCCTGTGCCATCTGTCACCATACAACAAGGTCGCAGTGTAGGACCCCTGAATCCAGTCCCTCATCTTGGCCCTGTCCTTTTGCCTGCACGTCTAAGGCCTTCATCAAACCACACAGAATGTAATTCTTTTTCTCACACACACATGTAATGCATCTATATATGTACATATACATACATACATGCAGCTCTAAGGTAATGTTTTCTGCCCTTTTGACCAGATTCCAGCCTGTTGTGTTAGCTGGAATAAGGTTTGCTTTAGGACAACGTCTGACAGTGTAACTATGCTTTAGCAGCCATGATGTAGCACTGGTTGTCTTAACAAGTATACGGATGCGATGCTGGAAAAACAAATGGTTTATTCCATGAGAAGCCAGTGTGCTTGAGAACACCATCTCAGGCTTATTAACAGAGAGAAAACCTTCATGGAGGAGGATAATTGAGTTAAAACTCCAGTAAGACTAGCCAAGAAAATCAAGACAATATAAATCCCAGCTATTCCTCAGTGCTGCGCGTCCGCGTTTCAGTGCTGCTTGTGGAAATAGCCTCCTTTCTCCTCTCACCTCACAAACTTGCAGCAGAGCCATTTTACTAGTGGGCCCCACCGCTAACCTAATCAAAGGAGGTGAGCAGTATGCGGGTGGAAGAGCCTGACCACCTCACCACTGTGACGACTCTGCTGAAGGAAAGGAACCCAACTTTTGTCATCAATCCCAAACCTGACCTAAATATTAACAAGCATTTCAGCAGCTTCCTAAAGTGAATTCCTCCCATTACTACTCCAGAAGCTATGGAGAAGTACTCAGAGGACACTAGAACTGCAGCAGTTTAGGAAAGAGCTTAACGTAGAAAGTTGGCAATACTTAAACCTTGCCAATCCCAGCTAACATGGATTCACAGACTCAGGCCCCAAACGAGTTCACCAATATCAACAAAGCTCGTAGGTAGCTCTCAGCCCTCTCACAGAATAATCAGACTTGCCATGCCTCCCCCAACATCCAGAGCATAGCTACTCTGCTGCTATCAGTAAAGAGGACTGCTTTCATCATGGGGCATTCAAGCACTCATCCAGCATTGCTAGGGCAGAGCTCAAACAGGAGTTGGTGCTGGCTGGGGTCTGCTTTTGCTCTGGATCCTTTGCAGTGAACCTGGACAGGTGCCTGATCTACACACTGGACAGGACTGGCAGAGACAGGCCTTTCAAGAAACACTGCTTTACTCCCCTTCCAGTGCTGGAAATAGGAGTCACTGAATCCTGGGGAAGAGAGGAGGCATTTCCTCACTGGTATGTCACAAGTGGAGCATGGAGATTTTACCTTTCTTCCTCTCTTCCTGCCCTAAGTCACGGGCATGAGAGATCAGGGATTAAGGCAACTGAGGGCAACATATTGACCCTGTGCTAAGATTGACTAATGCCAACATACTCTGGCTCCGTCAGTGGGGTGGTCTCATTGGGCTCTGTGTGTTTTCCCCCATCGTGGTTGGGGGTCCGCTCCTCTTCAGTCCGCACCTCCACAATAGGCTCCTTGGACTCATCTTTCCTGTAACAAGGGAATTGCATGGAGATTGGTTCCCATTCACACTAGGTATCCTCCTGCAAAGACATGCTCCAAATGTCGATAGTGAATGACAGAAACAGACCAGCCTAAACAAGATTACTTCTTTTTGTCACTCCCCCTTCCAGTTATTACCTACAGCACAGAAGACCACTGTGATGTCCAGCATTTGGGCCAGCCATTTAATGGCTACTAACAGGAATAGGACAAAACCAGAGAAACAGCTGAAGAAACCCCTTCCTGGAAATATAAAGCAGAACCACTGTGGCCCCAGGTCCTTTCAGTACCCTCCCATCAGAAATGAGGAACCCAGAACTCCCTAAAACAGTTTCTTTTCCAGACTTGCTGAGGGGACACACTGGTCAACAGAAGGAGCAATATAAGTGATGACAGTACTCACGAGAAGGCGGCTTTGCCCTCCTCCATGTCTTTGCCCTTGGCTCCTGGGCCGGACTTGCCGCATAAGTTGACAGCAATGCACATCAGCAGGCCACACTTGTTCAGGAAGTAGCAGGTGACATCCACAGCCACCAGGAGCAGCACAAAGATAACAATGAGAATACCTACGATGGCAGCAGTCCCAAGGCCTGATGTAGGGCTAGTGCTAGCTTTAGAGACCAAAAAGAGAAGAAAAGAAGACATTGTAGTTAAAAGGTGAGTTGGGGCTAGTTATGGCTCAAATTTGGCTATGCTTAGTTTCCAAGCGTGGGAAACTTACAGAAAGTACACCCTCTCTCTAGCAGCCTTGTGTTATAACCAGTACTTTATCCTAAAGAGGTGCAGGACAATCTACCTGAAAAGACAGATTCTCTTGGACCTAATGGGGCTTTTCCCATCTCTTTTCCCACGGGCTAAGGCCTGGAAAGCAGACTACAGAAACCTCTTCTACTGTAGCATATACCCAGCTGAAACTCTGAAGGGCTCCTGTTTCCCTCCACCACTTCCTCAAGATGAAGGCTGTGTCTAGGGTCCAGAGTGACTTTGGCACTGCCAGCCTGGCACAAGGACAAGTGTAAGTAAAGCCTAGACTCTGTAGCATGACTTGCCCTGGTGGGACACAGAATACTGGGTGATACCTGTGGGACCTCAGCATTGATTAGCCCCTTATGTGGTGAAAATAAAAGGAGGAATTAAAACCCTTCCTGTTGCTCAGGTAAGACTCAGCTATCCATAAAGTGGTAAGCTTTTCGTGTCTTATCCAGAGATAGCTGAGCAGTGAATGCTCTAGGAATGTTTTGGCTTAGGCACAGACAACAATCCAAGTTGCCTTCGGAGGAAGCAGATGGTAAAAATAAGCAGACTGTCACTCTGTTGACATTGTCCTGGTCACAGCAGCTGCCCGCTCCACCACACCCAATCTCCACTAAGTTTCCCCAGCTATAGAATAGAAAAAAATACCTTGCCTTTTCCAGTAGACAAAAGGACAGCAGGTGAGAGGTGGTGATGGAGGCCTAGAAAATGCATAGGGTTGCCCATATAGTACTAACTTCAGGGGAAGTGCCTTTAACTTTCTACCTGCTTATAAAATACTGAGTACTTTCTTAAAAACAGGGAGTGGATAAACACATCAGCTAATCCTATCAAAGCTTTTGATCATCACAAAACCAACAGGCACAGCCTTGAATGTTGCCAGCTGCAGCTTCCCAGCCTCTTACTATCATACTCTGAACACAAACTAGTTTTTGTTGCCCTTGTTTTATTCAGAATAATTCTTCCCAAGTTGCTGATCTGCAGGCAAAGCATTTGGCTGTTGGCTTATACAGTTCAGCACCTATTTAGATGTACCAAACTACTCAAAACCAGCTTGCTAGTTTCAACCGTCACATAATCTGCCTCTCACTATGGGACTGTGCACTCAGCAAAGGCCTGTGCATCTGACAGAGCTGCTTACTGATGTTTACTGAGACAGCTGAACAAGAGCAGAATGTTTGTCATTGTCCATAGGAGTATTTTGTTTTTTTCTTTCAATTAAGATGCAATTCTATTTATTTCTACTGCATTTTTTACTGCTGATGTCACAACCCCCAAACAATGAGAATCTTTTATTTGCAGAAAAGCCCAGCAAAGCACCTCTTTCCCCTCAGCCCGATCTATGTTGACTTTGGCAGGTGGAGAGATCATTTCCAGGGCTCACAGAGCGCCATACCCTCTGCCACACATTTTATTACTTGAAAATAGGAGACAGAACATCCTTAGCATGAGGCAGATAAGTGTTGTTTCATTTTGTGACCCTGATATGTATTAAGGAATCCAGACTCCAACAGGAAAGTTTCCTTCTGCATTTGACTGTATCTAAAAGTCACTGAGGCACTCGACTGACAGTCCATTAAATGCTCAGCAGAACATTTGTGCCACAGACCAGATCCCTGCCAACCCCTTGTAGCAAGCTGCATAATTAAATCAATTAATCACCCTCTGATGCATGCAGGGAGTGAGGAGGTCATGTATTTTCCCTCTTCTAATTTATTCAGGATTCTTGCATGGATTATTCAATAATTAACATGTTCTTGTTCACACCAGCTCCTGAAGAAAAAGCTAAAGATGTGCCAAACTTTTCTTCTCATCTAAATCATCTTTCTGGGAATAAGCTCCTTGGCAGGCTAGTAAAGGTGCACTAAGGAAAGCATCACAGACAGGATTACAGGGTAATAGTTCCTTGTTGTGCCTCCAAAATATAGCTCATCTCAGTCACCTGAGCGGGAGTGAGAGAAGATATTTTGTCCTGGGACAGATGGAATTCTCCCATGTGCTAGAAGACATCTTCGGGAAAATTCCATTCAAATGAGAGTCCTACTCTTTGCTTCCTCTCCCCAGCAGCTTTTACAAGACCTGTCAGTATCAGCTATTAAGTCCCTTAAGGTCAGGAATTATCTGTGGCATAAACCACATCAATAGCCTTATACATTGCCCATACCTTGTCTGTGAACCACTGCACATGACCCATGTGAACTGCAAGAACAACTGCAAAAACTGCAAACCTGTTAGGACAATCACAGCCTCTGCCTCTGGGGCACAGCCAGAACTTCTGGGTCCTCAGCAGGCATTGCTGCAGTGTCTGTTTTCAAGTGCCTTAGTGTTTACACATGGTATTGGACTTGGGCAAGCTGCTTTATCTGAATAGGAAGGAAGGAACTAATTTCTTCCCTGTGCAGGAGTCAGTTCGCTGTGCCACTGAAGATCAAAAGGTTCAGGCATTCCCATGGGATCCTGGGCTAGCCTGTTACCATTTCACTTCTGGCAATACCAAGGCACGTGTATAAACAGGGATGCAAGGAGCTGGAAATGAAAGAATACCCCTGTCTTTGGCATCGGTATGACTAATGTGAGAAAGCTCTTCAGAAAAGATGCTGAGGAAGACGACGATTCAGGGAAATATCACAATCGTGGTTGAAGAATTAAAAAAATATTACTTGGGAAACTCAGTCAATGTAACTTTAAAAAACAAATGTGCAGGGATGAATTAGGTCATTGTAGCCCTATATGCAGCAGAATAGTACATGCAATAAAGGTACTTTATTTGAGCAAAGATACAACAAGATTCAAAAGCTGGAAACAGAAAGTGGATGAGCTTAGGCTAGGAATAACATAGGAAATTTTAACAGAAATCCCCAAATGAGAGCAGAATGTCGCATCTTTCTCCACCAAATTTGGCTGAATAGAAATCTGCTTTACTTTCTAAACATGGATTTTATGCAGATTATTTAGCACTACTGCAGAAAAGCCTGTCTGAATACTCACCTCTCTCTATTTAGGATTAGTAACAGAAAGCAAAAATGGAAGAATAAGATGGTTCCTGTTCCAAGCAATATTTGCCATTCCACTTAAAATGACAATGGCGGGTTCTCATATGTTTGTGTGTGCATGTCTGCATTTCTGTGACTAGTGCTTGAGAAGCAGAGTATTAGTTCTCTGATAGCCCTTGGCAAGCACTAGGATCCATTGGGACAGCAGATGCTCTGCTCTGCAAAAAAAAAAAAACAAAAAA